CTCTTTCCCAGCTTTTTTCTTGAGCTGGAGGTTTTTTTTAAGTCATCTCATTGATTTGCCTGGGCCGGAAAGTTCCCCGGTTTGTGTTGTGTTGGTTTTTTTTAATACATAATGGTAATAAAGAAATATCCCATGAAATTGCCCCCTGGCTGTGGGTCAGACATGCAGCATGGATGGCTCAGCCCCTCAGCAGATGTTTGTACATGCAATTGTGCCTGGCAAGGGCAGCTCTGCTGCTGAGGAAATGAATTTCAGCAACAGGCTGAACATGGGGGTAGCCACGGGGCTTTGCTTTTAGTGGGGTAAAAGGGCTCTTGGCCTCGTGCTTCGCAGATGTAGCTGTTCAGTTTGATTTTCCTCGAGGATTGACACCTTGAAAAGAAATCCCTCGTGTACGTGGAGCCTCCCTGTGGTTTGGTTTGTTGGGAGTTGGGTTTTTTTTTGCTTCTTTAGTCACCTGGTTTCTCAGAGGGGAGGATTCCCTCCTTGGCAGAGCAGAAAACTAACCTACTTTAATATATTAAGGAACCAGGTGGCTTATGAATACCCTGATGTGGCTGCTAATTGTTTTCTCTCCGGGTGGGAACAAGCCGTGCTGGGCACCATTCACTGCCCTCTGTGGGAAGGGTGTTAATTGGGCTTTTTTGGATAGTTTTTTCTGAACCCAGAGGTGGCTGTTTTTAAACTCGAGGTGCTGTTAATTCCTCAGCATCCCCCAAAGAGCCACAAAGGCGGGGTGGGAATGGAGGTGTAACAGAGATGGGAGGGCGATGCAGGGAGGAGAGAGAGAGAGAAGGAGCATCCCCGGGAGCATCCTCGTGTGAAATAATTAGCCCGATTGTCCGCTTCCTCGGCAACGGGGAGGCTTGAATGGATGTGAAGTGATGCCTTCATCTGGCCTTTTGATGGCGATCCATGCAATTGCTGTCACGCTGCACGTCTCTCACGTAGGGGCTGCGAAAGTCAAGTCGTCGCAGGCGGCGGGATGGGCAGAGCTAGAAAAGGGGAGGGGGCTCGGTGGGGGATGCTGGAGGAGGGAAGGGGCCGCCCCTGCCTTGCTCTCTCTCTCTCCTGTGGCTCCGGTTGGGTGGACCAGGGCGTATGGAATGACATCTCGGTGATGCACGCAGAGACACGGCCCGGGTGCATCCGTGAAGGTGTCGGGGAGTTCCAAAGGGAAGAAGCTGGAAAAAGGGAATGTAGGACTAACGCAGGACATGTGGGTGAGTGGGAGGCACGGGGGAATGCTTTTTACCAGGAGGCAATAAAAATGTCTGAAGTGGGGAGGCAGCTATTTTATCTAACTTTATATAGGAGCAAATTTCCTTTCCTTTGTTTTTCCTTCCCCCCACTCTGGCGGGGTATGGGAGCTCGTCACCGATGGATCTTTAGCAGATAGGAGGCACAAGTGACAAGCTACTTCTAAGTATCCTGACTGAGCCTTTTGAAAGTCCTCCCTGCCCTTGACTTACCTGGGTAGATAAGGAGTGATGAATGTGCATTGAAATCCCGGGTAGCTTTAGCTTTCCAGCAGCGGTGAAAAGAAATGATGAATTGGGTCTTTGTGAAGCACTGGGAGCAAAACACTGGTTTATTTCATCCCTGATTCTAAGTTTCCTGAAAGCTTTTGTGATTGGGTTTAGGATCAGGTTCCTGATAAGGAGGTGCATGCTTGATGCTCTGGTGTTTAGGGAAGTGCTTTCCTGGTCTAAACAGACCCATCTAAACAGATGGTTTGTCACTGATTCAAGGGGAGCCTGAGTCTGTCCCTACAGGTGTTTTAACTCCTTCAGTACTCTTGGGGGGTGGCATGTGTCCTCACATCAGCTCTGAGACTGTCTCAGATGTCTGGAGCCAAAGGGGCATGAACAGTACCTAGCATTGTCCCTGGCATCTCAGAGAGCTATTATTTTGATGGCTCCAAAGCCCCTCTACTCTCTTGAGATCCTCTGTCCTCTGGCAGGTAGGGAAATGAGTTTCTTTATTCAGGTATTATTCCTCCCTCCCTCCCTTTTTTTAATACGTGGTTTGGTTTGGTTTGGACTTGCACCCATAGGTTGTTTGAGGATGTGAAACTGTTAGAGAGGAAAAGAACGATTCTCCTGGATATGTTGCACAGCCACAGTGTTACCCCCAGCACACAAAATCAGCTCTTGCTGCTGAAATGAGTGGAGAGCTGGTCCAGGTTTTTGAAACGTGGCACCAGGGATGCAGGTCACACAGAGGGAGAAAGTGTGAGGGCAGCTCCAGCCTGAGGAATGTGAAATATTTAGAAAAGGAAAAAAAAAAAGCCTCTTTTAGATAGTTTTCTCATCTCTTGCCTGCTGAGTCTGCTTTGTTGAGACAGCCAAACAGATGATGGGTGGTTGTTCTGAGCACCAGTGCTGTCGCTCTTCCTTGGGGCCTTAATTTAACTGTTGGATTTAGTATTTGGTTTTTTTTCAATTAGTAGAGGAAGGAAATCCCATATGCTTTGCATGCTCTCTGGATACCCCTCTGTTTTCCCTTCCCAAATTTACACAGAGAAAAATCTACCCCAACCCACTGCCCTGCCCCCACCCCCGGGGCAGCTCCTCATCCCCACATCACTTTGCTCTGTTCCCTGGTCCCACCTATGGGCAGCTGGAACGGGCAGACTTCTCCACCCACCCCATAATTAAGCTGCTTTTGATGGCTCTGCCACCAGCCGCTCAATCCCTGCATTCCTTTCCCATGAGGTGGCTGGGTGGATTGATGTGTGGGTGAGAAATCCCCCCCAGGGTCTCCCTGGAGGGCTCTTGTCTGTCACACAGGGGCGGCATGAAAGGCGACTGGCTAATCCAAATTCCATTAGGCATCGTTAAGATCTTCCATTCCTCGGACTTCAAGCACTTGGCTTTATGCCTTGGCTTTTCCTGTGTGCAGCACCACGTGAAAAGTGATTCTGGAGGGCAAAGCCTGGGGAGGAGCAAGGATGTTGCCATGTGGTCCATGGTGTGTGTGGTACAGATAATCCAGATACATCCCATGGTGCTGGGACCAGGTTGTGAATGACTTAAAAAAAAATACATATTCCAGCAATTTTCTGCAAACTGAACCAGGAATTTACTTTCTAAAGGATTTATGGAGGGAGAAGTGATTCACCTGGGAAGCCTGGCAGCTAATTTGTCTGCATTTTGGCCATGCTGTTTGGGTGAATTGGAGAGTGAGTTTTTCTCTCCACTTGCCAAGCCATTACTAAGTGATGCCACTGGATTTATTTCCAGCTGTTTGACATGGAATCTCTTCCATGTCAAACTAAAAAAACCCAGCTTAAAGCAGGTTTATGAGGAAAAAGGGATAAGTTACTCTTAGTATCTGCTTTTAAATGCTGGTGGTTCTTACAGTCCTTGGGCCCTGCTTGTCTTCAGAAAAAAAAAACCAAAACAGTTGCATTCACATGTGTATTCACAAGTTAGCAAAAGTTTATGCAAGTTTCTTTACAGGTGAAGATCTTCATGCAGACCTAGTATTTCAGCACAGCCTCTGCAAGGACTGCACCAAAGTCCTTGGCTATTCTCCAAGTTTCCAGAGAATCAGTCAAGCCACAAGAACGTAGTGTTGTGGTTGCCTTAGTTTTTGTTTTGCAAATGGGGAAACTGAGGCAGAGAAGTCTTGCAGAAAGGCCAGGGCAGCTGCTGGCTCCTTGGCTACTTTGCAGCCATTAGGATGTTTTCTTGCTGTGGCCCCAGGTGGAGTTTCCTCCTCAAGGTTTTGGTTGTCCAGGTTTATGAGAGGGATGCACAGGACACATTACAGAGATGATGTTGTACAAGGAGTAGAGGCTTTAGGTTTAGTTTAGCTGCTGGGTTTTGTTTAGCTGCTAAAGGGCTTGAGAAGGCTGGATCAAGAGCAAGGGCCTTGTAGGCTGGAGGACTAACAGCTTCTCATGTTGTGCTTCCTCCTCCTTGCAGCCTGTGGGCCACAGCTTGCCAACTCCCCCACTGTGATAGTGATGGTTGGCCTCCCAGCCCGTGGGAAGACCTACATCTCCAAGAAGCTGACTCGCTACCTCAACTGGATCGGTGTTCCAACAAAAGGTGAGGCTTTCACTGGCTGCCTGGGCAAAACATGTAGTCTGGGTTCTTGGGAGATGCTCAAGGAGCTTAGTCCCTTGAGGAGTAAAAGGTCGTGAGGGATCTTTTCTTAAATCTCATGGGCCAAATATCCATGTTGTCCTGTCGCTTCTGCTGCAGTCCAGGTTCTTCTTCACTTTGAAGAGTAAGGGATGTCTCTGAGCCTTTTGCTCTGAAGATGTCACTTTTTGGCAGGTTGCTGGCAAGTGTTACCTGCAGGGGTTGCACAGCTGAGTTGAGCTGTGCTGATGCTCACTTCTGGTTTTGATGGTCTCTCCTTTCCCATGCAGTTTTCAACGTTGGGGAGTATCGCCGTGAGGCGGTGAAGCATTACAGCTCCTATGACTTCTTCCGTCCTGACAATGAGGAGGCCATGAAAGTCAGGAGGTAAGTGTGAGCCCTGCATCTGGCCTCATACCCAGGTCCCAAATGGGTGGTGAAACCCCTGGTTGGCAGTGGGGTTACCAAGCTTGTGATAGAAAAGCTGGGCTCTAGTGGGGATTTCCCTGCCCGCATAAGGAGGGGCCTGACTTGGGCACCAAGAGCTGAAGACTGAAGTTGTCAAGGTTTGGTACCTTCAGGGTCACCAATGCATCCTCCATCAGTGGTATAATAGACTCATAGAATATCAAGTTGGAAGGGACTTCAAGGATCATCTAGCCCCACATTGTTCAGGAATCTACCACTTCCCTAAGGAGATTATTCCAGTGTCAATCTGTTGTCATAATGGAAAATTATCTTCTGGTATCCAATTGGGATCTCCCCAGGAGTAATTTGTGCCCATTACCCATCTCCTTTTTCCATGTGACCCCTTGTAAAAAGGGAGTCTTCTTGGTAGCCACCATTTTTAAGTACTGGAACATGGCAATAAGGTCTTTTCTAAGCCTTTTCTTTAGGTTGAACAAACCCAGTTCTCTCAGCTTCTCCTTGCACCCCAAGTTCACCTTCAGGCTCAGTGATGTAGGGTATGAGGTCAGCCATGAGGTTTGGCCTTCACTTCTTTATCTGCCATTGCCTCTGCTGTGAAGACCAGGGTGCCTCTTGGCACATGTGGCTCTTGTGTGTCTGGCAGACCAAGGATGTCTTTTTTAGATCTCCGTGGGATAAGGGGGGAGGTGGCAAGGAGGACCTGCAAAGCCTTCCCTCCTTTGTGGGGATCTGTGCTGGGGTTGAGAGCATCTCTGAGGGCATCAGGACCATGGGCCTCTTGTCTCTTTTGCAGACAATGTGCCCTGGCTGCCTTGAGGGATGTCAAGCTCTACCTGACAGAGGAGGCTGGCCAGATTGCGGTAAGCTCAGAGATGTGCTCCACAGGCTTTTATCAGCAGTCCTGGTCCTGAAGGTGCTGTGCCCTGTGCAGTTGGCTCTGCAGTTCCTTCTCTGAGGAAGGGCACAGTGGGAAACCAGGCCCTCTTGGTACTAATTAAAATCTTCGCTTTTAAAGGTTTTTGATGCCACCAACACCACACGTGAGAGGAGAGGGATGATCCTAAACTTTGCCAAAGAAAATGGGTTCAAGGTTTGTACCATCAGGCTGCTGTTCTGTATTGCAAATTTTTTTCCGTTCTTCTCCACTAACATGTTGTCCTGATGATGCTTCTGCACAAGGGGAATTTCACTGCTCTGTTTGCTCAAAAATATGAAACTCTTCCCTTGTTCATAATCCTGAACCCTGGAGAAGGAAAGAAGGGGAGTGGGACAGAGGGGAGGCTCTCTGGTCAAGGAGGGAGGAGGTTGGGTTGGTCAAGGAGCTGGTTGACTGCTCAAGAACTTACTGCTGGCCTACACTGAGCTTTGTTTTGCTTTGCAGGTGTTCTTCATTGAGTCAGTCTGCAATGATCCCACTGTAGTTGCCACCAATGTTATGGTAAGCATGGACAGGTCTTGTTTTATCTTGTGGAAGATTTTCTACCTGTGCTCAGTTTGTTTCTTATCACAATGTCTTGACAGAATTAACTGAAGATTAGGAGGTTTTTACCTTTTTATGATGTATTTTATTTGTCCTGGGATGAGAAAGGAGCTGTTATCTCCCAGGGCCACCTGGAGTTATAGAAAAGTTGTAGTGGCCTTTCCCCAGTTCCCTTCCATGCTCTCTGCATTTCTGTTTACCTGTAACTTGAGATCAGGAAAAGAAAGATATCAAGATGCTTTGACCTCCCCAAAGTCCCACTTTTTGGAAGTGATGGGTGTGATCAGGGGTTTAAATCCCATCAGAGAGCAGTCTGACTTGGTGTCTTCAGTCACATCCAGCTTCCCCAAAGCAATTGGGGTCTGCTTTGAGGAGGATAACACTTTGGCTTGGAGGCATCTTGTCTGGCAGAGCAGCATAAAACATTGCTTCCTGGCTCCTTTGGTAACTGTTGGGTCTCTTTACTTCCCACCAGCAGAAGAGCTCCTTTGCCCATTAGGCTTAGCTAGAGCAGGCAGATGTTAATGAGTCTCTCTAGGCATAACTGACTTCAATAAAAGTGTCTTTTCCTCTGCTGGGCTCTGTTCCAGCCTTATCTCCAATTGTACATCTGAGCCTTGTGCGTTTTGTGGTGTCTGGGAATGTGTTGCAGGATACCCACAGTCTGTGAAAGGGTTTTAGAAGGGTTTGGCTCTACCCTGGGATGGGCTTCACATGGTGTTTGGTGGGAGCTAGAGGGTGGCTTTCTAGTGGAATGTGTCCCTGCCTATGACAGCGGGGTTGGAAGTAGATTATATTTAAGGTCCCTTCCAACCAGATCATTCTATGGTAATTTTGCTCCTTCTGGGAACTGGTGTCCCATGACTAACAATCAGCTTTTGGGAGGTTGCACACAGCCTTGTCCCTGATGCTAATAAAATGCACACTTTGCTGTATCTTTTTTTCCTTCTTTGTTATCCTTTGCAGCACCCTGAAGCTGAATTTCTTTGGAGTATTTAAGCCCTTTATTTAGAAATTAGTGCTTGGAGGGGGAGGAAATGGACCACTAGCTACATTTTGCTCCTCAGGACATTGCAGATGAATGGTGCTTTTAGTGCTGAGATCAGAGCAGCAAATATGCTGCTGGCCTGGGGCGTTGCTGCACATCTTGTTCATTTATGTTATCCTGGAGGTTTCAGGATTGCTTGTGAAGTTCCTAATGTGTTATCACTGCTGCTCCAACCCAGATCTTCAGGAAGAACAGCCTGTGAGAGTAGTTCAGGCAGTCCATGAGCGTTCAGGGTATTCACATTGTCCATTTCTAGAATCTTTTGGTCCAGTAGCTTGTAACAAATACACAGAAAGGACTTGGATGTTGTTATCCTGCTGCCTCAGATAGTGGAGAGCCAGGTTAACCTCAGTTTCCTAGGAGCTTTATTCACTCAAAAGGCCTGGGACAACACCTTGGACTTCCCATCCTTGGTTTGAGCTGTTTAAACCTAATTCTTTTGTTTTGCCATGAAGTTCAGTTTTCCCACTGTGTGAGATGCTTCCCCAACTCTTGGAAGGATGGGAGTGGACTGACATGCTTCTCTACCTGTCATGGATATCAGAGTTTCTCACCTTGTTCTTGGTTTTGGAGCCACATTGCTTCTTTTCTGTCTTCTCATGGTTGTAAAGAGGCTCAGCCAATAGTTTGGCAGGACTTGGAGATCTGAGATTAACAAGGCCTGGCTTGGAAAGCTTCCTAACCCTTCTCTTTGTGGCATGTTTTCTCTTCTGCCACAGGAAGTAAAATTGTCCAGCCCTGATTACCGAGACTGTAATTCAACCGATGCCATGGAGGACTTCATGAAGAGGATCAATTGTTACCAAGCCAGTTACCAGCCACTTGACCCTGATAACTATGACCGGTAAGAGATTTGCTGATTTCTGACTTGGCTAAAACGCCTTTCTTCTTCTAAGAGAGGAGTAATGAAGTGTGGAGCTATATTTCACTTTGTCTTCAAATACGTGACTGCATTAGCATAATGTATGGACAAGCCTCACCACAAATTCAAGCTTCTGCCATGAAAATTCTGGTTTTCCTCAGGCCTGTGCCAGAGTGTAGGACATTGAAACCTTCCTGTGCTCTTCTGGGCTCAGATATGCTGGTTTCAGCCTTGTTCTGCAAGTCTAAATACAGAGCTTGGAAAAGCACTTGGGTTTGAGTGTTTCTGAGGTCCTTTTGTCGTTGTCCCAGTTAAAGGAAAGGGCTGCTTGGACGGGCTCAAACCACAAGGCTGAACAAACCCTGTGGTTTCCACCTAGTTGTGTGACCTGGGAAGACCTTTGCTGTCCTTCATGACCGTGCAGGCACCTCCCAGCCTTTCCACTGCTCACAAATAGGTCCATGTGCCCTGTGTGGATTATCTCAGTCCTGGGGGACGGACATGCTTCCTGCTTGTCCAGTTTAATCCTCTTTACTACTGCAAGGAGGAATGGTGATTACACTGGTATTACTTAGCTCTCCTCAAATCACTGTTACCTGTTGGCTCGCCATTGAAAATAGCCTGCAGGAAATCCTGTTAGCTGGGTGATTATGTTGACTGAGAGACCTCACAAGGCTGTTTTTTGAGGCTGGCATTTTTTTTGTTTTTTTCCTGCTTTCTCCACTGGCAACCCCCTCACCCCTGCTGTGCTTTCCCTAGGGAGCTTTCTCTCATCAAAGTCATCGATGTTGGCCGGCGGTTCCTGGTCAACAGGGTTCAGGATCACATCCAGAGCAGGATTGTTTACTACCTGATGAACATCCATGTCCAGCCCCGCACCATTTATCTCTGTCGGCATGGTGAGAGTGACTTCAACCTCAAGGGGAGGATTGGAGGTGACTCGGGTCTCTCCAACAGGGGCAAGAAGGTAAGGGGGAAGGAATTACGGCTTCTAGGAGTCATTTTGGCTGTAGCAGATGCCATGCATTGAGTTAAGTGTATATTTATTGACAGCTGGGGTGCTTGGAGGATCCAGACTGCTGGTTAAATTTGGGCATGGCCTCAAAACATGACTTTCCAGCCATCAGCGTTGCACGTAGGCTTGTATGTAGGTAGGGGTTAACAGGGGCTGGTCTGCAGAAATCTGTAGGCCAGAAGAGTATGAGTATCTTAATCACTTGGTTCAGACCTTGCACAGGCAGGGCAGGATGTAGAAGGCCTGCTGCCACCCTTTGGTGGGGATAGCCATCTCCAAGAGTGCTTCCAAACTGCTCCCTACTTGATTTCTTCAAAGACATGGTCAAATGTGCTGCTTCAAGGCTCACTAGAGCATTTTGAAGCCCAAATAGATTAATTTGACGTGTGACTATTATCAGGGACTACAGAATCTAAATGACAGGCAGACCTGTGGTTGGGGGTGGCCAGGGACCTTCCACAGCATTGCAGCAGAACCCAAGTTGTGGTGTTTGTTTCTTGGATGCTGAAGTTCTGCGATGACATTAGGTGGCTGCTTTCTCTTCTGCTTTCTTTCTGTTCTCATACTCCCAGCTTTCAGGGATCAATGAGGGTGTGGCTGCTCTTCACCTCAGAGCAGAAGGCTTAGGCAAATGAGGTCCTAGAGGAGAACCTTCCCCTTTACTGGGAATCAAGGAATGAGGCCTGTTGGAAAGCTGTGCATCAGGAATCAACCTCTTTTTTTTTTTTTTTTATGTCCCACAGTTTGCACTGGCACTGAACAAGTTTGTTGAGGAGCAGAACCTGAAGGACCTCAAAGTCTGGACCAGCCAACTGAAGAGGACCATCCAAACTGCAGAAGCTCTCCAACTGCAGTATGAGCAGTGGAAGGCACTCAATGAAATCGATGCTGTAAGTATCTTTGATTGCAGGAGGGACAGCAGGATCATGCTGGTGGCTGCTTGGCAGGGAGGTGATAGCACCAGCCTTTGCACTTCTGCCTGCATTTCACCTTTTGTGGGGACATTTCCTTCTGTGGGAATTGTACTTCTGCAGTACTCACAACTTTGCTTCTAATCTTGGTTCTGTCTTCTGCTGATGATTCAAGATGTTGGCTCATATTAGCAAATTAAAATGATATTTGCTTGGAGCTGCTCTGTAGCTGAGCACTCAGGGGGGTTGCAGGTGATCACTTTGGATCACCTTTGGATCACAGGTCTTGCATCTTGGGTGTGCTGATTTTTTTTTTTTTTAATTTATTTAAGCATGTCTAGTAACCTCTTGGATGTCCTGTTCTGGCAGGGGGTGTGTGAAGAAATGACATATGAAGAAATCAGGGATCAGCATCCAGAGGAGTTTGCATTGCGTGACCAGGATAAATATTACTACCGCTACCCCTCTGGGGAGGTAGGTCTGCTAGGGACCTTCAGGGATGGGACTCTTACTTTAAACATGGCCTTCTTGTCTTTGTGCTGTCCTCTACAGTCAGAGCAGAGGAGCAACAAGTGCTCCAAGAAACTAGAATCAAGGAGAGTCAGGGCTCCCATTTACCTTTTGTATTGAGCTCTTGTGAAATGGTGGTACATGAAGATCTCATTAAGCAATACAGAGCTTAATAGGAAGCTGGTAGGATGGCTTCCTTCTCTTCTGACCAGAAGTTGCTGTATTCTAGAGAAGGCTGACAATAAGGCTTTGTTGAACTTTGCTTGGTTTTAGCAGTAATTATGGTGGCTTGGTTTGGTCAAGGGCATGAAATCAATAGATGGACCAAGACAAGGACCATTTTTTTCTTGCAAGGTTCTTGTTGTCTTGATTTTGTCTTCTCTCCTTTCCCTTCCTCTGTCTCAGTCCTACCAAGATCTGGTGCAGCGCCTAGAGCCAGTCATCATGGAGCTGGAGAGACAAGAGAATGTCCTTGTCATATGTCACCAGGCTGTCATGCGCTGTCTGCTGGCATACTTCCTGGACAAGAGTGCAGGTGAGCTCCCTGTCCCTGGAAAGGGCATTGGTCCTCCTGGCAGAGGGGTGATGGACAGACCTGAGGAGATGAGAGAGATGCTCAGGTCTGTGCAGGACCTGTAGCATGCATCTCTCTGCTGTGGGATGGCCTTAGCTGTTGATGAAGATGTCTAAGCCTGCTTTTCCAGAGGGGATGAGATAACCCTTCTGCTTTGCTTTCTCTGCAGATGAAATGCCCTACTTGAAATGTCCCCTTCACACAGTCTTGAAGCTGACCCCAGTGGCCTATGGTAAGTGGGGCCTTTCTACTAAACATGCCAAGGAATTCAGCTTGTACCTCCTGCTTGAATCTAAGCTGCCCCTGGGAAGAAGGGCAAGGGTCTGGGTTGGAGCACCTCATAGCATCCTCTGCCCATTGGGTTTTGCTGATGGTTCTTTTGTTTCCTTCTGCTCCGTTCTGCAGGCTGCCGGGTGGAGTCCATCTCGCTGAACATTGAAGCTGTCAACACCCACAGGGAACGGCCAGAGGTGAGTGTTGCTTTTCCTTAGAGCTGTCCCTTGGTGTCCCCTTCCTTTCCCCTGTGGTCAGCTGGCACCAAGGACACCTGGGGTGGGCATGGGGAGATTGCTCAGCTGGGCACCTCTGTGCTGCTTGAGGACTGGAGCATCACATCAGTTCTTGCTCTGGAAGATGTGGCCAGTCTAGGGTTTTCCAAGGGAAAAGGACTGTTGCACATGCCTGCTTCCCTATCTTGTCCAGATTAAAGCTGGCACAGGAACAACTCCTCCCTGGTCTTTGCCCTGTGCAGTCATCTGCTCACCTGAGTGGGGAATGGAGCCGTGGATGGAGAAGGTGACTTCTTCCAGGTCTCCCAACTGGCTGGCACAGCCCAGGCTTAACACCTTGCACAACATCTCCTGCCTTTGTGGGTTTTTTCCTGGCATGCCCGCAGTTTGTGTGGCTACCAGAGTGTGCTGTTCAGTAGGAGGGGATGTGGCAGTGCTGGGGGTGCTGCAGGGAGACCCTTGTATGGAGGAAAGCCCCTATAAGGTCAGGTCCACTTGCCTTATGCTCCATTGGGAGCTTGGAGGCCAAAGCAGGAGGATGCCAGCTGGGTAGCCATCCAAGGGGAACCCTAGAGACCCTGGCAGTGCCTGTGTCCCAGCTGCTGGGATCTTTCCAACTTGTGTGTCATGACAATGGAGCTTGGCTGGATGATGGATGGTCAGAGCCATCCCCTTTTGGCCTGCATCTCCATTCCTTTCCTTCCCAACCTCGGCGGGTGGCAGCATCTGAGTTGCTTCTCCCTCCCCATGGCTGTAGGGGGAAGCTGGTCCTTCTCCCAGCCATGGGAGCCTTGATGCTCTCCTCCACCACCTTCTCTGGGGCTGGCAGGAGAGCTGTGGGCAGAATGGAGTGAGACACGTGTGAACTGCTTGGGTCCCTCTGCTTGGCTGCTGTCCCTCCATCCCACCTCGCTTGAGTTGGAGCTTGGCACGGTGCTGACCCTTGCTGGCTGCTCTGCCCCCACTTCCCAAATCTTCCTGACAGCCCAGGCTGGCTTATCTTCCCTTGTCTTGCTTTCACACCTCTCCCTGGGTCAGAGGGGTGGGCTTGGAGGAGGAAACTGATGGGCACCTCTTTCTGTCATGCAAAGTTGTGGCTTTGGATTGCTTCTGGGTTATTTTTATCTGTAGTGACTTATTTTTTGTGTGAGCAGAGCTCAGGTGAGGAAAGAAAGCCTGTCTTGCTTCTCAGTGCCTTATTGGGGTTTTTTCATCCCCTTTTTGGGGAGATCAAGCTGCGTCCTCAAACTTTTTGTATTAGGGGTTTGTTTTTTTCCAGAGTCCAGATCCTTTGCACACTGACAGTGATTGTGGGGGAGAGCAGAGGCTGCTTTAAGAAGGAAAAAACACCTGATTCCAAACAACCTGCTCCTTTTTTTTTTTTTCCTTTATAACTGTCGCCTTCTTCCTTTTTTTATTTTCTTTTTTGTTTACTTTTTTTTTCTTTGTCTCACTCTTAATTTAGGAAGCAAAGAAGGGACCTAACCCGCTCATGAGACGTAATAGCGTTACCCCTCTAGCAAGCCCAGAGCCCACCAAAAAACCTCGCATCAACAGCTTTGAGGAGCATGTGGCTGTTTCTTCTGCCCTGCCAGGCTGTGTTCCTCAGGAAGTGCCCACGCAGCTGCCGGGACAAGTTAGTTGAACTCTCTTTTTGGTTTTGGTTGGTTTTTGGTTGTTTTTTTCTTTTCATTTGGCTTGTTTTTCTTCTGTTGTTGTCATTATTCTTGTGGTTTTACTGTTTGTTGTCCTCCTGTTGCTCCTGAAGCTGGGGGTCAGCTTGCTCTTGTTGTAACCTGTGCTGCTATCTCTGAGATGCATCTTTCTCCCATGTTTGCTGTCCCTCCTTTCCTTGGGCTGGTTTTAGGAGCACTCCTGCAAAAGGTTACTTGTTGATTCTCTCTTGGGACTTGAGAGTGTTGTAAACCCTTTGATGTCCTAGTTGTGTGTAGTGCCTTCACCATCTGGCATTGTGGTGTCAAACCCTTGGGGAACCACATCTTTAGACTGAAGGGCTCGTGCTCCTGGATGTGCTCAGCTCCAATGTAGACCTGGGCATTGTGATAGAGCAAGTGTTCTTGTGCTTCCCTGGAGGAAATGCCAGGATCTGTCTTTGGCTGGAGGGGTCTCCTCCTTCCTGGAGAAACAGGCAAAATGGACCCAAAAATAAGCAGAAGCCTCTTGTCATGATGAGCCTGGTTGCCTTCTGTAGCCCTGGGTGAAACCTGATGGGTAGTTGCTGTGGTGCTCATGTCCTTTCCTCTTTCATCCACCTGTGGGAGTGGAAAGAGACTTTGCTGGACACTTCTCCAGGAACAAAACCTCCCTCCCTGTGCTCGTTAAGGAGCTGGGGTGGTACTGGAGAAGCAGCATAGAAATACCAGAGCCCCTTCACCATGTTGCCCTTCCCACCAGCTGCCTGTTGGATCTTGCCTGTCTTGCTGAGCCCCTCTTTGCATTGTATGTGTTGTCTGTTGTCCTCATGCCCCTCTCTGGGCAGGTTAGGAAAGCTGCTGTGCTCCTCTGATAGCTCTGCTCGGTGGCTGCTTTGCATGAGCCTTCCCACCTCAGCAAGCACTTGGCAGCTCAGTCTGTCTCCCATTTTTTTGGGGCTCCACTCAGGCTGGTTGAGTCTTGCAGCAAACCCTCTGCCAGCTTTGGGTTTGGAAGCTCTTGCTGTTTGGGTGCCCCTCCCTGCTGTCTGGTGTCCTTGGTCTCGTGCGGCGTTACTGACACCTTTCCATTCTCTCTGTCTCTCTGCAGCCTTTACTAGGGAAGGCATGTCTGTAAGTACCTTCTTGCCTTACTCCCCCTTCTCACCCTCTTCCCATGTCTCTTGACATCCCACCAGTTTTGTTGTTGCTGTGAAAATTGGCTGGGGCATGGACTTCTTGGAGTGAATGTTTCTTGGGGGTGGGATTTGTATATATCTCAGGAAAAGTAAAGAGGAGACTGGTTCTGCTTTGTCCAACCCCTAAGTATCATCACCTCAGTAAATGTCCCAATTGTTCTGCCCAGAGAAGTTGTGTGCCCCCTCCCTGAAATTGTTCAAGGACAGACTGGATGGGGCTTTGATTAACCTGGTCTAGTGGAAGGTGTCCTTACCCGTGGCAGGGGGGGTTGGAAGTAGATCTTTTAACATTCCTTCCAACCCAAACAGTCTATGATTTTGTTGGGAAATGATCACTTGCCATCTGTTGATGTCTAAATTCCCTTCTTCCTCCTTGAAAGTCATAAGAGGGGAGATGCAGTTGGGTTTTCCTGGGATTATCTCTACAATAGCACATTGTACTGTAGGTGATAGACCCAAGTGGTCTGTCCTTCCCAGGGGCTCCACTTTGTGCCTATGAGTGATGGTACCAGATTGATCTCTGAGAAGGTTTTGACCTATCAGGCCCCTATCAGGGTGTTAATGCCTATCTGGGAGCAGGAGTGTTTTTTCTGGACCTGGATTGATCTCAGATCCTGGCATTGGCAGTTCTGCCAACCTGGATTTTGAGTACAGTCTGCTTAGATACCTTGGGCAGAGTAGATGCAAAGATATGGTCCTCTAGCTGTAGTAAGGAAGCAAGATGCCTTCAGTATTTAACACACTAATTATAAAAAAGATCAAGACTCCATCAGTGTGGTTCAGTGCTATTAGATCCTTGTGTAACGGGCAGGGCAGTTTCTGGATAAATTTGAAGCCTTGGGACTTAATTCCAGCAGTGTCATTGAGTTGAGAGCAGCAGTTGTTGGAAGCTGTGCTCAAATGCCTTCTCAAAGACCAGGGAGACCTTGGGGCTGGGGTGGTGCCCAGGTGTCTTTTTTGACCACTGTAGACTAGCTGGAATTAGCCTATAAGCATCCCTGTCCTGGTTGGTTTGGTGGGCTGAAGATGGAGGCATATACTCTAACATGGCTAGGACTCAGCCTTGCTTGCATGTAACAGCTGGTGATCCTCATGTTTCTCCACACTTCAAAGGTTTTTGAGAAAAAGAAAATTAGGAAGGTCATAGCTGGCTTTACTGGTGGATGGGTTGGGAAGGATCATCATACTCATGCTTATGCTCTTGGGCCAATGTAGGGGTTGAGTTGCTCAGCCTGGCCTGCATGTCTGTGCTCCTCCCCTTGCTGCTTGTAGGCACAAAAGCTCCTGATGAAGTGCATGGTGGTCTTGGGTTGCTTTTGAAAGCATTTTTGTTTCATTGTCCATCCACCTTTTTCCCCATCCATATTGTAATAAAAAGCACTGCATGGGCTCAGTGCTGGCTGGGACATTTGAGAATGTGCTCCTCTGATGTTGAGTTTTGGAGATGGTTACATCAAGTTTTGCTAGACCAGGAGGTCTGCTGGAGCAGGCAGTGATGATATTTATCCCAGCTGTAGGCTGGCAGCAGCAAGTTTAAAATCTCCAGCTGATGGGAAACTTCCTCCACCTCCTAGTGTGGGACTTAAAAGCTGCTTTTAAGGGAGTGTAAAAGACACCCCAAGCCCCAAAAGCTTGGTGTCAGTACCTGTCTTGGAGGTTGATGCCTCAAATGTGCATGTGTCTGGTCCTCACTGTGTCCCAACACAACCCATATGGCATCAGGGGAGGTGGAAGGAACCTCCTTCCCAGTTTGCACCATGAGATTTGGTTGGCAGTGGGTGCTTTGTTGCAGCTTGCACTGGTAGGGTCTTGACCCACATCCAGGAGGATCAAGAGACATGGTTCAGAAGTCCTTCTGACTGTGGGATCAAGCCACTTTGGGGGGGCATGAGACTACCTGGCACAATGTTTTATTTTCCTTTTTTCTTGATTTGTGATCCAAAGTCCACTTTTTAACAACAACCTGATCCCCTCCCTTCTTCTCCCCTTCACTTTTCATGCTTAAAGGCGACCTGTTTGTCACTTTCTCAAAGTTTTCTCTTTACTAATATTTCCCAGGTAAATGGCTGTGGTGCATGTGGCTTCTCCTAACCCTCCTCCTGTCTCCTTAGATACCAGAGAGAACAGCTCAGCCTGCTGTGCCTCATAGCTTAGCCAGGATTCCTGGTGCTTCTAAGAGGCAGTGTAGGTAGTAAAAGCAAAAAGGAAGAAAGTTGAGAAACCTTCCTTAGCTGTTCCCTAGTTCTTTTCTCCCTGCCCTGTTTCTTGTAGTTTTGTGGAATGGGAAATGTCCTTGTTGTGATCATCTCCCTTTGAGTTTCTCTCTTCTCCAGCCACTGCCTTCCAGGCTGGTCCTGCTTGTGTTTAGCTGGTTGTCTGTGGTTTTGTGGTCCTTGCCAAGTGCTGTTGGGTGCTTGTTGTCACCACCTTGCACTTTGGGTTGTGTCTGATGCAGCTCTGGGGCCCATGAAACCTCATGGGTCATTGTTGATGTAGCAGGTGCTCCTGCTGTACTGCTGGTGGTGGTTGATCCCCATCCCAGTTCCTTGGTGTGGCCAGCAGGAGCTCTGTCTTCCTGGTGGTGCCAAGGGTGGACAAAGAGTAACCTCCTTGGTAGATGAGGGGTCACTGCCCACCTTCAGGAGAGGGATGTTTGATTGGGCTCCTTGGATGAACATTGTGGTTGCTTGTCACCTTGTCTGGCATTGACCAAAGAGCAGCTTCAGAAAAGCAGACCAGGAGGAAGGGTTGCCTTGGTGTTAGCTCAGTTTTTGGGGATATCTCTGCTAAATTCCCACCCTGTGGTTAAAACCAGGTGATGCTTGAGGGTGGGTAGCAAGTCAGCATATCCCCTGCCACTCCTCTCCTTGGGTGGGCACTGTCCTCTCCTCTGTGGTGGATGATTTTGTAGTGTCCTGTGCTGTGGCTTTCTGTTGCTCCCCCTGTCCCCTCGTTGATATGCACATGGAAGATGCTGCCGGGATGGGGTCCGACCCAAGCCTGACCTCTAACCCTGCTCCTTCCCCTCTCATTGCAGAACATGAACAACTCGCAGAAGCCGTTGTGACTCCATTGGCGCTGCCTTGAGGCCACCAGCGACGCCACCACCAGCTTCCCATGTCCCATCACCATCTCTGAAGCTTGCTTATAAACCGGCCTCCTCCACCTGCGGCGAGGCTGATCCTCGGCTGTTTCTACCTGCGCCCGTTCATCTGCAAAACCACTCTGCTGAAAGGGGGGGAAGGGGGAGATGCAGGGGAGCCGAGGAGAGGAGCTGAGCTCCTCGGGGTCACCACCAGCTCTTTAGGCTGCAGCATTTGCTCTCCTCTCCAGCACTCTGTTAGATGGTAGCGAGCTGTAACGTGCTTCGAGCCCACGGGAGCTTCGTTTTCCTCCCCTCTGCAAGGGGTTTTTGATCTGTTGTATAGATGATTGGTACCCACCCATCTCCAGGTGGGGTGTATATATGTGGATGGTGCGGGGTTAGCAGAGAAAGGGGGGGAGGGGGAAACTAAGGGGTTTTGTTTTCTTTTGTTTTTTTAATTATTACTGTTATTAATTACTTTCCAGGGAAGCCCCTAATGTGCTGTGCCCTGTGTCTGGCTCACCCAGGCCCAGGAGCACCAGAAAGGCAGTTGTGTGAAGCCCTTCACAGAGAGAAGGGTTTAACTGGGTTTAACAAAAAACCCCTCACAAACCTCCAGAACACTTATTTTTAATTTTTTTTTCCTAATCAATACACCTTCAAGGGGTTTGCAGAGAATGTAGATCTGCTTCTAAAACCATGACCTGCCTGTAGTTGTAGGGGTGGCTGCACCAGTGGTGGTTTGGGTGATGTTTTCATCTTGGGGAGCACCTGGGGATGTTCTGAGTTCAGGCATGTGTTGATTTTTATTATTTTTTTCTTTTTGGTGGGAGACCTGAGTGCAGCTGGAGTTGCTGTGCTGGTACTTCACCTCCCTTCATGTCCCCTTTCCTCTGCCTTGGAGAGATTTTAGAGGGGTTTTGAATCCCTACCTTGTGGCTGGTGGAAAGACTGAGCAAGATGTGTTTGCAAACACAGGTCTTGCGGAGTTGGCCAGAGGTCTGGGGTCCCTGTGTGGAGGCAAAAAGCCACAAGAAGGGACAGTTTTGTCTGTGTTACCTTTTTTAATTATTTAATATATTTACATACACACGTCTGTGTGTGTGTGTGTATTCCTAGAAACCGCTTGGTTTTTGCACTTTATTTGTGGCAGGAGCATAACTATTTTATTTTTTTCAAGTCTTGCCCCTTAACAGGGGAAACCTGAATGCAGGCAATTATATATATATTTTAATTGTTATTTTGCATGCTGGAAAGCTGAGACTACAAAGAATAGTTAATGGTGTTCGAGGTGTGGGTGGGTGATGGGGTGGAAACGAGGGTGAGTGAGTCCATCAGCCAACTCCCAGTGGTTTGATATGCAAGATCTCTTCTTGGCAGCCCGTCCCAAGCTGCAAGACAGAGGTTAAAAATGGCAATTAACCACTATTGCTTTGTGCAAAAGTCTGTGGAATTTGATTGATTTTTTTTAAATAATCTTTTTAGTGTTTTGGGTTTGTTTGGGTTTTTTTTCCCCACTCCTATGTGCAGTATCTTCTGCATCCCCATCTCATGGTGTCTGGCTGAGCTGGAGGCAGGAGGTGAAGGCAGCCAAGCTCTCCTGCAACCCTGGGCTTGAGGGATTGGAGATGGGCACCCATTTGGTTTCATCCTTCCCATGGCTTTCCCCAACCCACTGGGTAGGAAACAACAACCCTGTAGATGGGAGCAGAGAGTTTTGGGCAGAAAGTATGATTCTTTTTGTGTGTGGTTTTTTTTTTTGGGATGGGGGAGGTTTGGTCTGTTTTTCCTTTGGGAAAAGGTGAACCACAGTGCCTAGTGCTTCAGTCTCATGTAGCCAAAGCACATGCTTAG